TAGAGGCTCTGCCATCGAATGGTGCATGTCTCAGGCTCCAATATGTACAAATCACCGAGTTACGACCTACAAAAACACGTGCTTGTGAAATTGCCCAAAATGTAAAGATTGCATATTTTGTCGGAACTCCACGGTGAGTGGTTGTATAACACGCTGATCAAACTGTTCACATCGCTTAATGGATCTCCCTGTGTTGATTTGAGTAGTTAGATAGATAGGGGCTCTAGCTATGGAACTGCTTTGATATTCAACTGAGCAGCTGAAGCATAGTTGCGATAGAGGGAGCAATGGATCTTACGCCCCTCACGTATGAGGCAGAAGCAGGATGACCCCCGTCACCCGAAGCTGAATGAGGAAAGGTATTTGAGAGTGAATCATAATCAAAAAGGTATTGGAGATCCAGCGCCTTTTTCGTGAAACAAACACATATTCAGTGGAAAGAAGTATTTCTATCAATTACGACAAGAATTACAGTGACTGCATTTTTTCGCATATCTCAAAGATGTCTACAATAGATACTAGTATAAATAGTCAACTGAATTTGGGAAATAAAATTAACTTGGAAATATAAACACTCCAAGAAGGAATATAAGAATCAGAAATCATTTGAATTTTTTTCGGACCTCAATGGTTAATGCTTGTTTGGTTCAAGCCTTATTGTGAGATAGGCAAGAAAAAAAACCAGTTAGTGTAAGTCTGCATCTAGCTGTATCTATCTAGCTAGTCTGCATGTATTTAGCTTAGCTTCAAGTCTGTATCTATGCCAATGCTTATAGAGACCAAGAAAGTCTTGCTAGACATTTTAAAACAGCTCAGTGTGGTATGCAGCGAGTACTGTAAATAGTAAATGATACGTTAGTTAAATTACGTCATGAAATGAAAGAGAATTGAATGCATTTTTTGTCAGCCAAAGCAATCAATAGATCTATCAGTCAGGTAAAATCCTCATATCTTACTGCTGTGTAAAGTAAGAAAAAACTCGAAGGTCACATCGATTCTCCGGGGAGGGAGGGGGGGGGGGCCCATTACTTGTGAGTGTCAATCAAGAACTGTCGCGACGCGGCGTTACAGTAACTCCGACGAGAGGCAGCAGGGGCAGAGGAAATGTCCCAGAAAAAATGTTGAGGGGTCAAGTTATTGTAGTCAGCAAAAAATTTACATTTCCTGACCAGAAACGTGGTAGATTCCATATTTCCCTTCACTATCTTCCTTTTTTTACGAGTTTTGTAGCCAAACTTTCATCAAACAAAAAAGATGTGGCATTGTGGAAACCATTACAAAGATGGATCATTATGGCTTTCTGTAGGTTGCTGAAGTCTTTCTCAGCTTCATAAGATCCTTGCTTCAGTAACCCATAAAAGCCAAGACACTGAATATCTCCCCCTCCCCCATGAGAACTGCTAAGTCTTTTCGCCGTACAATCTATACACCATTCGAAAGACCTGGGAAAGTCAGGCGTTATTCGATTCTCCATAACCTCAGCTTTCGAACGGTATGTAGCTTGTTAGGGCATTTAGTTTCCAGGGCTTACTTATCCCCTTTACCCTACAAAGATGGGAGTAGTCAAGACTCTCTTCATCTGGGAAAGGCCCGGCTCCCCCCATCGCACTTATAAGCTGCAGCACATGCAACCACCATATTCAATACACTGGGAAAATTTGACGAAGTGAACATATATCTGCAATCAGAAAGTGTAATACAACCACTCACGGTGGAATTTCGACAAAGTATGCGATCACAATTTGAGCAAAAACCGCGAGGAATGTTTTCGTAAGCTCGGCGACTTTTACAGAATGGAGCCCGAGACATGCACCATTCGGTGGCACAGCTCCTGTTGACTTTAAACAACAAATTTAAGCAGACAAGTTTCTTGAAAGATACGCAGTCCAAATCATTAACATTTTGAAAATCCATTGACGAGTTTGTGAGTGTAAAACGAGAAAAAATGAAAAAAACTAACATCTCGGAAAACTTGCTTAATTGCGAAAATCACATTTGTTTAGCAACAGGGCTTCATATTTTGGGGTTATGGTGAGCAAAATTTAGAACGCCATGAACGCCACTTTTCCAGCAGCCCTCCTACTTCCTTTGGAAAGAAATCTGCGTTACTTTTTATCGCTCCATAATTCAGAAGAAGTGCTATCGAATGGTGCTTGCTGGAATCTACAAGAGGCAATGCGCGCTGCTTTACACCTTTGCGAAGAGACGTCCGCAGAAAGGTCCAAGAATATTGAAATCGCATATCAAGAACATGCTGTACATTTTGAGATTCGCCTTGACGAGTTAAATACAATGCTTTTTTCGAATTCAGGATATATTGATTCCAAAGGAAATTACGGCGAGTAGAATTTGAAAACGAGTGATTATTTTAGAATTCACCAACGTTTCTATCGCTGTTAAAAGACGTCGGCGGCTACTTTTTAGCGCACTGTATTCTACAAGAAGATTACCATCATATAGTTTTCACTGTTATCTTCTACTTTAGATGGGCGCTGCCTTACATCCTTGCGGAAGGGTCTCTGCAAAAGAATTTGAGAAACTGCAACGAGGACATACTTACATCAGAAGATTCGCCTTGACGAACTGGGCACAATGCTGGTTCCGGATTCATAGTATTTCGCAAAAATCCCGGAATTCCGCGACAATCACGGAAATTTTGCTCATTGTGAGCGGTACATATATTGGTTTGCCAATGTGGACAAGCGACTGTCATATTACTTCCCATTCTGGTTGCCTGCACTCTTAGATTAAGGTTTAGTCTGATCCACTGTGATACAGAACACATAGGAATCACTATTTTGTCCCACTTCTGAACAACATCTCTATGCTTTTGCCCCACTTTTAAATGCCAGTTCTTTACTCCCACTGTTTTCATAATCAGGCTGCACACCTCTCCCTATTTCCCCGCGCCCCACCTCAAGTATGAGGATGTTGATGCAGTAGGTTAGTGTCATCAATGATCGCAAAAATGTAACGACTGCTCACTACTCCACCTCTCCCCTCTCTCCTCCTCCCATCTGCATCAACTCTTAAGGCCACATGCACTAACCTCCCCGCTGGGGAGGGGATCGCAGCTTAAAAGAAAGCTTTATATTTCGAAACTCCAGATACCTGGATTTCACGTTGTGTACCTATCCATAAGTATTCCTACTATCCTTTACTATGAACATGTTGAACAGGAGCGAGAAGCTGTACGAACAGCATTTTCCAGCTTTTGTATGATCCTCAATGATCCCGGCGCTTTTCTTCTTTCTCCGAAGTCAACGAAAACCTTTTCAAAGTTGTACTGAACATCTAACACAACAGTGTTAAGCATGTTGCTGATGAGAACAAATGAGTTTTTGAAAAGTCGAATTTTTCGGTAAACCTCAAATTTCGACCTGTGGATCATCGAAAATTTTATGACTTCAAAACATCCTTTGTTCCTATCAGCAACATGCTTAGCACTGTTGTGTTAGATGTTCAGTACAACTTTAAAAGGTTTTCGTTAACTTCGGAGAAAGAAGAAAAGCGCCGGGATCATTGAGGATCATACAAAAGCTGGAAAATGCGGGTCGTACAGCTTCTCGCTCCTCTTCAACATGTTCATAGTGAAGGGTAGTAGGAATACTCACGGATAGGTACACAACGTGAAATCCAGGTATTTGGAGTTTCGAAATATAAAGCTTTCTTTTAAAGGTAGTAGACAGGCAAAATGGACTCCTGTCAGATTTTGGTAGTTTCGGGTAGTAGACCCCCCAAGTACATCATAGCCCCAAGCCCACCTTCCAATTCATGCGCTAAGTCTTGAAAAAAGCGCTTCAAAACTCCACCAGCCCCGCCCACTTCCACTGAGTGGGCGTTATTTGTGGAATTTCGAAGCGCTTTTTCAGGACTTAGCGCATGAATTGGAAGGTGGGCTTGGGGCTATGATGTACTTGGGGGGTCTACTACCCGAAACTACCAAGATCTGACAGGGGTCCATTCCGCCTGTCCACTGCCTTTAAGCTGCGATCCCCTCCCCTCGGGGATGTTAGTGCATGCGGCCCTTAATCTTATAGCTCAAAGTATCGATAACAAGAAAGTAGCGTGACACCAAGCTTCGAAGGTGTGCAAACAGTCTGTGTCAACGATGTTCCCTAACCGATCAGTCCAAAGGCAATGTCCGGACAAGATGGAAGCTCTGGGATTTCACTGTCATGCGAAAGTCCCTCAGATACAGCATCACGCAAATACGAGGTTATAACTTCGACTTAAAGCAAGAAGAACGATCGGGAAGTGGGGAACTTAAGCCTGGGGTGGTTTCCTCCGACACGTTTGAACTCCTGCTGTGCGGCAGAGCATGCATGCCGCCACAGTCAAAATCGTAGGGTCCCGCAGCGACTCTACTCTCAGCCTTGGCGGGGATCGTCGAATTTTAAATTGCAAGGCTTTGGAAAACACATTTTCTCGCCATTTCCGCGCCTTTTAATGCGGATTTTCGAATTCAGGGTTGCCGACAACCCCCGGTAAGTGGATTTTCTAAAAACCGAGTTTGTGCCCGGACACTGCCTTCAAGCGCAACGCCAGAGCAACGTGCCGCGTTGCGGGCGTACCGCTTAAGCGTAGATTGCCCCTTTAAAGATCGCTGCGCAATGCGCAGTTTTACGGGAAAAGGAGTAGGTGGTTGACAGACTGTATGGTAGCTCAGTAAAAATAGAATTTCTTAACACATATAAGCGACTCATAACACGCAAAGACTGCGGACGTATCGGCTCTCTCTCTAATCGAGCGCTCTTTCATTTCTCTTACCGTCTGCTGTCTCTCCCATGAACGAACTATCTTGGCCGGACGCAACGACGCCCAATCTTTGCGTGTCATGAATCGTGGATAAGTGATGTCTACTGCCCGATAAAAACGCAGGAGGTACTCTAGTTGAGAGGCGTGCGTATGCGCTTATGTGCAAATATTGCAACAATTCAACAATTTTTGGACGAAGAAATTCATTGGTTTGGAAAGTCTTGTTGAAATCAAAGATTTAGTGACCTTATTGGTATTGCTTGCTTGGTGTTTTGGACAGCTATATTGTTTGGCATTCTTTACCTGGGACTTTTCGGTCTTCGTCCCAAGCGATTTCTGGTAACATTACTTTTTTGCAAATGATTTCGAGCATTGGTCTTTTTTGGAGAAGGCAGAAAAATTTTAGGGATCTGTCACTGGAAGTCACTCTACGAGATCGGAAACCCCAAAGAAACCAAAATCGAAGTCTCGCTCAAGCTCAAGGTCGAAAAGGAATTAAACTGAAACTTCTACCTATTAAAAAATTTATATCTCGCCAGCAAATACACATTGTAATTAAATTCCATTTTTTGAACTGATGCCTCTACAGTCATAACATATTATGAAACGCTAAGCGTCTGTCTTTTTGTGCTTGTGTCTTATGCCTGTCGGTCACGAAATTCATAGAGGGACCCGCAGCCAAGCTGTGGAGCGGAATTTCGCATAAAGTACGGTATCAGAGTACAGCCCACTATGCACATAGACGACCCGGTCCGATGCGGGTTTTCAGAAATCGCGCGTCATTTCCGAAAGCGAAGGTTCGCCCAAAGTGTTCAAAAAGTATGTTTTGTGAAAATAGCATCAAAAACTAATGATTGCACAGATAGTCGATTTGTCCATGTTTTACCTGAAAATCTGAGAAGATTTCTGCGCAATGTAGCCCGATGTGACTATCATCCTTATTGTCGCGGATTGGGCCCCCAGCTCCCAACGTCAGTGGTACAATTGCTCTCCTGCATCGGCGAGGGGAGCCGGGGGTCCGCACCGTGAAATAATGGAACGTAACGTGTGAGGTGGCTACCTGTGCAACTGCTCTGTGGGCCTGCCACATGGGAACTCCATACACTCTTAGGGGCCCTTGCCACCAGCCTGCTTAGTAAGTTGCTCGACACCTGCGACTCAATCTTTTCTCCCAACTATCGACACTTGGGGCGTGTACTTACAATCACGACACTACCCGGGGTCGTGTCAGCCTTTCCACAGATGTTTCCACTAGGCTAGATTATAAGACACAACATTGATGACACAAATATCCCCGGAGCCACAGCCGAGCTGTGGCTCACCACTTCAGTACAATTCACACGAGTAAAATGCCCACCATTTATCCACAACTAATCCCTAGACTCAAACACAATGGGGTGGAGCACAACCAGCCAAGATCTTACAACCCTAGGGGCCAGCAGTATCGAAAACCCCCCGAGGCGGTGTCGCCGGCATGTGCCAGGTGCGATCGCGCTCGGGGTTACCTCGTTAGCGCGGGGTGCCAGTCCTCCGTGGCGTAGATGGATGTGACGCGTGAGATGGGATTGGCGCTGTATCGATCGATGGCATTGAGACGAAGATGGAACCCGACCGCTCACGATGGCGACAGCAGCGTAGACTGACTACGTGACTTAAACGAAAGCTGTGCAGGTGAGAGAGGTGAGAGGCGGGACAGCGCGAGGACGGCGTTTCAGGACCCCTTCGCAGCGCGGGGGCGGCCTCCTTTGAAGGAAGTCGCGAATCCGCGACACTCCGGGCAACACGAAGAAAAAAGAAGGGGTCCGAGGTAGTTTCCGATCTGCCATGTTACCTACGACCCTACGAGTCAAACATACAAGCAAACCTACGAGTCAAAAATCCCTAGGTGGAACGCGGGACCTACACCTGTCGTGGTAACAGCCAGTTGTTCTCGGAGGTAAGCGTGAAGAGTCGTCGGGGGCTCTACTCTGGATACTGGCGGGTCTTCGGCGGTTGCGTAGTCGACAGTTGCGTTGAACGAAGGTTGAGGCGACGATTGACGGCGGATCGGCTCGACATTTGCGGCATCGACAGCTTGAACGGCGACCATGGAACTCGGCGTTGACGTGGATGTTCGGCTTGACGTTGACGTTGACAGCGGCTCGACATGGATGACGTTGAAGTGACGATGAAGATCAAAAAGTTTTAATTTACCTACGGGCGCATTTTTTCACGCCAGAGGAATAAATTTTTGTGAGGGGGAGATTTTCCTCACCAAGCACAAGAACCCAGGGCCAAGTCAAAGTTGCAAAAGAGGGGAAATCCCAAAAACCAAAAAGTTAACACGGTCTCCCACCGTGATCCCAAAAGTCGTGAGTTGCGGCTATAGTCACATGTGTCAACGTATAATGGGGATCATTGCTGCCGATCCTGAATCAAAGTCAACAACAATGACAAACGGCGAGCTTAAGGCTCTCCAAAAAACAAAAGAAGTAAAAAAGGAAAATAAAAAAGTGAAAAAACCGTAAATTGGGGATGTAAACTTTCAAACTTACCTGCGGGAGCTCGATCTTATGCTCCACACTTCTTCCTCGAACTTTAGCTCACTTCAAGAATGGACCGCGGCAACCCATCCTCGGGGTGAGGGGCGACGAAGCAACAAGATGGAAGTGGCTAGCCTGAACATAGCTTCGAGCGTCCATGAGCACGAGAAAGGAGGAGGCTGCTGAAAGTAAACAGTTGTAATATAAATGTGATAACGCAAAGTGTGAGTGGATGTCTGTGGGCAGAACGAAGCTGCTGCAGAACGGCAGTAGGCCTGCGAGGTATCAATGGGGTGAGTTGCTTGGGGTACGAGACAACCTACGCATCCACTTCGGATCCCTATAGCGTCTTCGGTGGCGTCGACGTCTGGACGTTCCCGTGGGAGATGGAATCTGTGGCGATGGTGTTCTACGATGTGTGGGCGAAGGAGAAACATGTGGGGATTCTCTGACTGGTACGGAACGTACGGGTCGAGATGGGGATTGTGTATCCGATCGTGGGGTAGCATCCAGTCTGCTGCGATATCCTCTATGTTCGCGCGGATGATAGTGATGATCACGAGAATAGTCTCGGGATCTTCTGCTATCCCGTGCTGGATCTTCAAAATCCGAGGATTCTCCAGGTTGATCGTCTCCTTCCGCAGCTGGCTGCCTCTCCGATGACGAATCAGACGAACTAGATGAGCTAGACGACTGATGACGTTCTCGGGTACAATCCTCCTCTTCCGCGAGCCTACAGAGAAGTCGACGGTGTTGCTCCACACTCCTTGCAAGATGGATAGTCGCAATCGCCTTGGGAATGTCCTTCTCGAAGACACTTCAAGCATAGTCGCAGAAGATGTGCGATCTTAAGACGCACACCAACTGGCATACGCTCGTCGCAACTGCGAGAAGAGTGCGAAAGGGAATCACAAAAGCAACATGCGGGATCATGCAATGATCTGGGGGATGTAGACGTTAATGGACGTCTTGGGGAAACATCTCTATTGAGAACGTAAGTACGACGGCGGGAGCAAGTCTGCTCAAACCTCTCCTTTGACTGAATAAGGTCATCGAGGTGAGACATGACTTGTCGAAGATCAAAATCGGCTCGTTTCTCGAACTCAACGTTGTTAAGTCGCTCCTGAATTGACAGGGGGAACTTAGTACGTACGAGATCGATGATGTACAATGCACGATTTAAATCCTCGAAACGCTTAAGGGAATGAAGGATACCTTGAATCCGGAACCAAGTGTTTCGCATATCCGAAGCTGATTCGGTTGCGGGCTGAAGATCTCGGAGCTGCTGATGGAGTAGCGCTCTGGTCTTCCTCGGGCAATCGTATCGCTTCTTCAAGGCTTGCACCAACTGATAGTAGTTGTTCCGTCCTGGTTCAAGGTCCTGCAAAACCACTTGGGCGTCTCCCTTGATCAAGCTCATGAGGTAGAGATATTTCATATTGAGGTCTATGTTGGGATCATTGTGGACAGCTAGCTCGAAAGCACACCAAAACTGCTGGAACTTGGTGACATCTCCATCGAACTGCGGCAACGTTAACTTCTCCAGATGGATCGGTACGTTGTGCGACGATGGGGCAGTCTGGGCTGGTGCGAGCTGTAGATGTTTCAAATGCTGTACAACGTCCAACTGTGGGTCTACTGTCGGTAGACGTGGGGCATTATCTGTGCGATCATGAGGCTGCGGCGTCGTCACTGTTCCTGTCGTACCCGTAGTAGCATCCTCATTGATGGAACTAGCGAGTCAATGGATGCGAAGAGACTGAAGATGTTCAGCATCCGCTTCCTGCGTACTCTGCAAAGTGCGGAGAAGTGCTTCAGCGTCGGCCTGATGTTTATCCACGCTGTGCTCTTCCTCGAACTTGCTGTACGCTTGCTGATCCGTCGGCGAGTGGGAGATGGTAATGTCGTACAGAAGTACATCGCGACGTTCACGTAGAAGCGAAATTGCGGATCTCAGACTCACTATGTGAAGCTGTGTGGCTGCCTGACGAAGCTGGAGCTGGTGGAGTTGCTCCGCAACTGGGGCGTCAGACACATACGAGGTAAGCAAGTCGGGACTTACCTGTCTCCTAGCCGCTTCAAGGTCGTCGATGGCTTTGACGACCTTGGGGATGTAGGATTCTACGGTTGTCATATCGATCGACAGTGCGCTAACTCGGTAGCTTGCAGGAGGTAGTAACTGCGAACCCAAAGTCTGAAATTGTACTCCATAAATGTGTTCGATGGGGGTGTGACTACTTCCGGACGTAGTCACACAAATGGTGAACATAATACACGAGTGAAACGAATGAAACGGCAAGCAACAAACAACGACTGAAGCTCCCAGATGTTAATATGGGGGAATGACTGCCAATAATCAGGAGCAGTATAGATCGCAGGGGGCGGTAAACTAGCTAAGCTTAACCACAAATTGCAAAAAAAAAGGGAAGAGCGGATGAATGCGCAATGCGAGCATGTGGGAGGAAATAAATTTGGGGGCGAGACTCTCATCTGACGCAACACAAGGGCTCTTTCGTCGGCCTGATGGCGTGTTTCAGGGCAGACAGAGCTATCCACCAGGGACCTCGATGGCTGCAGAGAAACCTGGCCACCAAAATGATGGCATGTTTCAGGGCAGACAGAGCTATCTATCTGGGATCTCCATGGCTGCAGAGAAACCTGGCCGTCAGAAGGCACCAGACAGTTCCGGGCAGTAGGCAGGGCGTAGATTGCTGCTGCCACTACAGGTCTACGGGATCACCCTACTCCCAATCTAAGTGGAACTGTGGGTAGTCGCGTACTCGCGTCAGCCTAGTCGCTACGGAGCTTGCTGATGAGACGAAAGATGAGTTCTCCAAGGACACAAGATACAACCAAGCATGTATACACTGCGCAAACATGTGAAATGGGGAAATGTGATAAAATTTGCACTGCTGGCTAGGGACACTAATGTGCAAAGCGTGCACATGTGGACTACACAGGTGAGGCTCGATCACAAAAGCTGAACATAGGTTTGCTATCCCTATGCTCAACTCCGGTACGATGCACCATGTCGCGGATTGGGCCCCCAGCTCCCAACGTCAGTGGTACAA